GCTGTCTGGGCAGGCAAAAGGAAACTTGGGCACACAGGCCCTGTGGTTTCCACCTGGCACAGAGCTGAGTGCACTGCTTACTTGCTGTGTAAATTCCTTCCTTTCTCAGGCCTCAGTTTCCCCATCTGAAGAATGGGGGTGTTGAATAAGCTGACCTCTAAAGACCCCTATACCTCTGACTTTTAGGGATTCTGTGTGTACGGGCTCTGGAGCCCAAGGGCATGGGTGCAAATCTCAGCTCCTCTGCTTACTAGCTGTGGGAACTTAGGCAAATTATCTGACCTCTTGGGCCTCAGTTTCCTCACTTGTCAAAGGAGGATAAGAATTGAACATACGTCATAGGATGACACGAAATGACATATGCCAAGCATCCAGCACAGAAAGGTGCTCAGTAAATGCGAGGTCAAGGCTTTGGGTGGAGGAGTTCAGGCTAAGAGCAAGGACTCTTGGGATCCAGTATTTTGGATGAAAGTGGTCTGGGCGCAGTGGCAGACACCTGTAATCCCAGCTACTCGGGAGGCTGAGGCAGGAGAATCACTTGAACCCGGGAGGCGGAGGTTGCAGTGAGCTGAGATCGCATCACTGTACTCCAGCCTGGGCAAGACTCATCTGAGAAAAAAAGCAAAAAAAAAAAAGGAGGTGAGGCCAGGCTTGGTGGCTCACGCCTGTAATCCCAGTACTTTGGGAGGCCAAGGCAGGTGGATCACTAGGCCAGGAGTTCGAGACCATCCTGACCATCATGGTGAAACCCTGTCTCTACTAAAATACAAAAAGTTAGCCAGGCACGGTGGCATGTGCCTGTAATCCCAGTTACTTGGGACGCTGAGGCAGGGGAAGCACTTGAACTCACTTGAGGCAGGGAAGGCAGAGCTTGCAGTAAGCTGAGATTGCTGAGATCGCGCCATTGCACTCCAGCCTGGGGACAGAGCGAGCCTCCATCAAAAAAGAAAGAGGAGAAGAGGGGGAGTAGGGGAGGAGAGAGAAGGGGAGGGGCGGGGAGGAGAAAGCTCGGAGGACGGGGGATGCTTCAGGAGCTACATACCAGGGCCTGTGCACCCTGCCAAGCCCTCCCAAGGGGAAAGGCTGCATCTCTGAGGTTCTACCCACCCCCTGCATACACTTTCCCCTTTATTCAGCCATCCACAAGCACTCCATACCCTCAAGCCAGGAGCCCTGAGCAGGGAGGCAGCCCCAGGTAATGACTGTGCAGGGAGCTGAGCCACCACATGAGGGCAGCGGAGACGCGATCAGGATGGCACAGGATTAGGCCTTAGAATGGGGGTGGTGTGAGAAAATGGGGAGGGGGTGAGGCCAGGGGGCCTTGGAGTAAGCAGAGGCTGGAGAGTGGTCACCTGTCCACAGATTCTCCATTCATGTCACATGTGATATTTGTTCATCCATGCAAGCATTTGTTCCTTTATTCATTTCTTCAGTTTGTTTATTCTTGTAAGCCTGTCCCTCTTCCGTCCATCCTTCCTTCCTTCTTTCCTTCCTCTCTTCCTCACTCTGTTCTTTTCCTTTTTTTTTTTTCTAAGACGGGGTTTCACCATGTTGGTCAGGCTGGTCTTGAACTCCCGACCTCAGGTGATCTGCCCACCTTGGCCTCCAAAGCGCTTGGATTACAGGCGTGAGCCACCATGCCCGGCCTGTTCTTTTCCTTCTTGTCCCTTTGCTTTGTCCAGCCAGGCGATCTACTGGACATACTGTCCTGAGCCACAGCTGGGTGTCAGCTGAGAGAGGGGCCTGAGTCACCCACAGGCTGCAAATCCAGTGAAGCCTCAGTAAACAGTAAAACAGTAAACAGTACCCTGGCCAGGCAGACTGTGTGACCTGCACCACCACTCTAAAAATAAATTCCAGGAAAACAGTGCGGTCCCAGGTTCAGCAATGTCTGAGATTCGGGGAAATTCCCTGCCGACCAGAGCCGATTTCTGTGGCCTGGTGACTAATCTCCTTCTCACAGGAGCGTAAGCATAAGATGGGGGTGAGGCTGGGGCTTGACATCAGATCGAATCTTGGCCGTGTCCTGCTGGGCTAAGACACGCCTCTGCCTCTCTCTGAGGCTCAGTTCCCAAACCTTTAAAATGAGGGGAAGCAGGTCATCTGTTTGGTTTACCTTGCGGTCTGAGACCTAAAGGAAAATTGTGCAGCTGAGGTGTGCAGGCTGTCTGAGGAGGGAGACAGCCTGGCTTTGAGGTCAGGCCTGGATCCAAATTCTAGTTCAGCCTCTTACTAGCTGTGGATCTTAGACAACAACTTAGCTTCTCTGGGCCTCAGGCTCCTCATCTGTGAAATGGAGCTAAGAGTCCCTCCCTCCTAGGGAACAGTGGCTACACATGGCTTGCAATCCATTAATGGGTGCTATTATTATTAGGAAATGCTCAGTGAAACTGTACAGCCTGACAGACGTCAAGTGTGTCATTACAGTGATTATCCCTATGGCAACCAAGGCCAAACGCCTCTGCCTGACTCTCGGCTCCCTCCACCCCCAGTCTGGCCCCACCTGCCTTCCAGCCTTGCCACCCAAGGCCTGATGACAGCAGCACTGCGGAGGAAGATGCTGACAGCTGATCCAAGGGGGTGGGGCCCCTCCCACCACTCCTCGGGGCGGGGAGCCCTGCTCAGGAGCTACCTGCCCAGCCCGGTGCCAAGTCACTGCCCAGCCCTATGGCAGTTTCGGGGAGGAAGGGGCACCTGGAAGGCAGAGCTGTCCTGAGGAGGCTCCATCCAGCCTGTGGACCACAGCCCGGAGCGGGAGCCAGGCAGAGCAGTCAAGGAGCTGGGCTCTGCCTCTCCACATAGTGAGTGACTCCTGCCCCAGCTGCCTCTTTAGACCACAGTGAGTTCAAAGGAGGTTGAAGGTGCTTTTTCACCTGCCTGACTTTGAACTCCATGAGGGGTGATATCATGATCAGCATAAATTAGGGGACAGCTGGGCGAAGTGGTTCACACCTGTAATCCCAGCACTTTGGGAATCCGAGGCGGGTGGATCACTTGAGGTCAGGAGTTCCAGACCAGCCTGGCCAACGTGGTGAAACCCTGTCTCTACTAAAAATACAAAAATTAGCCAGGTGCAATGGCACGAGCCTATAGTCCCAGCTACTCAGGGGGCTAAGGCTGGAGGATCGCTTGAGCCAGGAGTTCTGGGCTGCAGTGCGCTATGCCGATTGGGTGTCCGCACTAAGTTCGGCATCAATATGACGACCTCCAGGGAGCGGAGGACCACCAGGTTGCTTAAGGAGGGATGAACTGGCCCAGGTTGGAAACAGAGCAGGTCAAAACTCCTGTACTGATCAGTAGTGGGATTGCGCCTGTAAATAGCCACTGCATTCCAGCCTGGGCAACATAGCGAGATCCTGTCTCTTAAAAAAAAAAAAAAAAAAATAGCTGGGCGTGGTGGCTGGCGCCTGTAATCCCAGCTACTCAGGAGGCTAAGGAAGCAGGAGAATTGCTTGAACCCGGAAGGTGGAGATTGCAGTGAACCAAGATCGCACCATTGCACTTCAGCCTAGGAGACAAGAGGGGGAGTTCTCGTCAAAAAAAAAAAAAATAGGGCTGGGCGCAGTGGCTCACGCCTGTAATCCCAGCACTTTGGGAGGCCGAGGCGGGTGGATCACAAGGTCAAGACATAGAGACCATCCTGGTCAACATGGTGAAACCCCATCTCTACTAAAAATACAAAAAATCAGCTGGGCATGGTGGCGCGTGCCTGTAATCCCCGCTACTCAGGAGGCTGAGGCAGAAGAATTGCCTGAACCCAGGAGGCGGAGGTTGCGGTGAGCCGAGATCGCGCCATTGCACTTCAGCCTGGGTAACGAGAGCGAAACTCCGCCTCAAAAATAAATAAATAAAACAAACAAATAAATAAATAAATAATAAAAATAAATAAATAGGCGGGACCTAACGACGACTGCTCCCTGTTCTTTTAAGCTTCAATAGAAATAGTCCAAGATCTGGGAAGACCCTTGTGCCCATTTTTAAAAGATTTCAACTCCGGCCATTAGGAGAGGTGGAGAGATCAGGTGACAATGAGTTTCCAGTTCGACGCTGGATTTATTCCTGGCACCCAAAGTGCTCTACTGTGCAAGCACCAGCTCCCCAAGCGAGCCTCACCCTCTGCTGGGGCGGCAGGGCAGCATTCCGCTCCGGCCTCCACGGCCTCGCACCTGTGGCAATCTCCTGTGGAACACCTTTTCCCTCCCCCATCTGACTGTGTCTCACTTTTTCCTCAATACTCTGAGCCTCTCTTAGAAGGGTTAGGAAGCCTCCTTCAACCTGGGCGAGGAGCTCCTTTCCCCTACTCCCATCCTGCTGCCTGTCCCTACCCTCGTTGTAGTTCTGATCACACTGATGGCATTCCTGTCTATGGTTCTAGGCTGTGGGCTTCTCAAGGCAGGGCCTGGACTTGGTCTTGAACAGTTTAGGGTTCCCAGGCCCTTAGGCACCAGGGGGACATCTCATGGTGTGATAATAAGAAACATTCATGCTTTATAGAGGGAAGGTTCCATCGCTTTCCCTAGATTGTGGCCAGCCAGGGTGAGTCAGGTTGCTGCCCACCTGCGGCAAAGCTTCCTGGTGCCGGTGGAGGGAGGGCCAGTCAGGCCTGGTAGGGCCAGTGACTGACCCATAAGGAGGTCATCCTCTTCCCACCTGGCAGGAAGCATCTGTGTTGTTCTCTGTCCTAAGGGCCCTGGAGAAATGCACAATTCATTCACTCATTCATTCATTTGGTAAAGGTCACTGGCTCCCGCCTGGGATCTGAGACCCAGGCCTGAGCACCCTCTCATCCCCACTGTCACGGCCTGCTGTGTATCCTCTCCCTTCCGACCTCCCGTGGCCCCAGCGCCGCCCGCACACAGTAGGTGCTCGGGCATCGTTTCTTCAGGGCCCTAGCGGGCCTGGAGGGGACGGGCCCCAGCCCAGCAGCCCGAGCCTCTCACCTGACTCTCCGGGCGCCCGGCTCGTACTTCCTCCCGCCGCCCCGCCCCTTCCACATTCCTGCCCCGCCGGGCCTGCCCCGCGCAGTCCCGGTCCCGGCGCCACAGCCGCCTGCCCGTCCGCTTCTTGCCCGGCCCGGGATGACGGCGGCCCAGGCCGCGGGCGAGGAGGCCCCCCCAGGCGTGTGTTCCGTCAAGGTGGTCCTGGTGGGCGACGGCGGCTGCGGGAAGACGTCGCTGCTGACGGTCTTTGCTGATGGGGCCTTCCCCGAGGTGAGTGCCCCGCGCCCCCGCCTCGCCCGGTTCCACTCGCGCGCCCGGGTGTGCACAGTCCGTGCCAGATCCGCCCAGGTTGTGCGCCTGTCCCAGCGAGGCCTGGAGTCCAGGGCAGAGTTCTTCTCTCCATGCCATTGGGAATGAATTCTTCAGTGATGTTATCTGTAAAGCAGGAGGATGGCACCTACCTGGGAGGGGTGGCACAAGGACTGAATGAGGCAACCTGGGCGCACACAAGACCCTAAGACAGCACCTGGCCGCACAATTCCGCCAAGACGGACTGAGGGCTCGGGAGCCGACTGCCTAGGTTCAAATTACTGCTTTGCAGCCCTGTATCCCTGGGCAAATCCCCCAACCCCGCTGTGCTTATGTCCCTAGCCACATCCAGGTAAGTGACAGTGCCCATCCACAGGGTCACCGTGTCAGTGAGTTAACAGACGTCAAACACTCAGCCCCAGCCTGTGCACAGGAAGGACTCATGGAGAGTTGGCACATGTCGCTCTTGGGAAACATTGTCTCCCCTCCAGCTCTTGCCGCTGGAATGCACGTGCCATGGCTCTGCCCTGGAGGGCGGAGCTCGCCAGCTGTAGCCTCAGCTCTACTCTTAGGAGCCCTGTGCCCCTTTCGTAACCTGCTTAGCTTCTCTGAGCCTCAGTTTCTCACAACAGCCCCATGCTGTAGAGGGACTGTAGGGTGGTGGTGAGAGGAGCCCAGGGGAGGCTGATAGGCAGCTCCCATGTGGTACTTGGCAGGTCCTTGGCACTGTGGGCATGGCCACTGTTAATCCTTCCTGACATGCTCACTGACTGCCTAGGCAGACTCCATGGGCACCAGGCAGTCCTTGCTTTGCTGCCTCTCAGCCCTGTTGTCCTGGGAGTCCACCGGGTTGCTCCCAGCATCTTTTCTTCCTCCTTTTTTTTTTTTTTTTTTGAGACAGAGTCTCACTCTGTCACCCAGGCTGGAGTGCAATGGTGCAATCTCAGCTCACTGCAACCTCTGCTTCCCAGGCTCAAGTGATTCTCCTGCCTCAGCCTCCTGAGTAGCTGGGATTACAGGCACCTGCCACCATGCCTGGCTTTTTTTTTTTTTAATTTTTAATAGAGACGGGGTTTTGCCATACTGGCCAGTCTGGTCTTGAACTCCTGGCCTCAGCGATCTGCCTGCCTCAGCCTCCCAAAGTGCTGGGATTACAAGTGTGAGCCACCGTTTCCTCCTTTTCTTCCCAGCATCCTCTAAGCCCCTGGGGTTGTACAGGTGCTGGGGCACCTGAGCATAGGGAGAGCAGGTCGGGCCTACCCGGTTCTTATCACACTGTAGTTCTTATCATGCTGATGTCCTGCCTGTCTCTCACCCTTGGCTGTGAGCCCCGGGGCTGTGTTGGGCCCTGCCACGTGCTTTCTGCTTCAGTGGCATCGAGCCACTTTTTAGTGGCCTGTGGAGCTGATGTCACACATTGTTTTAAGTTTGGGGGAACATGTTTCTGAGCCCCTAGATGCTGCCCATGGGAACCCAACAACGATGGCACCCAGGGGAAGAGCACCACAGAAGGACAGGTAGCCTAGGCCCAGGGGAAGGCACCTGATGGGTGGGGGCTGGAAGGCTGGTGCCTCACCATCAGCTCTGAGATGTCCTTGATGGTGAGATCATCCCGATTTCAGAGCAGTTATGATGTGGAAATGGGCATCTTGCAGTTGATAAGATGTGAATGCTTTGAGGGTCATTCTGGGGCTGGCCCGAAATGTGGGGAGGGCATGCTTGTCACCAGGGGGATGGGCTGGACTTGTCCAGGCTCTTCCCTTGTCTGGGGTCCCTGGGTTCCCAGGAACAGGAGAATCCTTTTAAAGAACGCACAAGGGGCTGGGCGCGGTGGCTCACGCCTGTAATCCCAGCTCTCTGGGAGGCCAAGATGGGCAGATCACCTGAGGTCAGGAGTTCAAGACCAGCCTGGCCAACATGGTGAAACCCCGTTTTTACTAAAAGTACAAAAAAGAAAATAGCTAGACACAGTGGCACACACCTGTAATCTCAGCTACTTGGGAGGCTGAGGCAGGAGAATCGCTTGAACTCAGGAAGCAGAGGCTGAGGTCGTGGCATTGGAAAGAAGAAAGAAAAGCAATCAAGAAAGAAAGAGAGAGAAAGGAAGAGAGAGAGAGAGAAAGAGAGATCCCACAATGTCTTAGAGCTAGAAAGGCTTCATTTTGCAGATGGGAAAACAGTCCAGAGCCCAGAGGCTTGCCTGAGGCACATGGCCCAGCGGTGGCAGCACTGATTTGGAGCCCAGGTCTTCCCACTCTCGACCAGGGCATTCTCCACAGCCCCCCATGCTCTGCCTGCTGGACCCAGCCTCCTCCTGCCCGTGTCCCTGGCACCAGACTCCTCCTCCAGGCAGCCCTTGAAGCCCAAGGGGCCAGCAGCTAGGAGTCTGGAGTCCATCTCCCAGACTTCCTGCACATAGCAAAGGGCCGAGACCAGCCTAAGGATTTGGAGGGACCTCAGTGACCCTCATCTAGCTGTGGCCCAACCCCAGATTCAGAGCAGCAGGGGAGGGCAAGATGGAGAGAGCTCCTGGGGTGGGGAGAACCCCAGGTTTGGGTGCCAGCCTCTGCCCAGTCCTGGCTGGCATTTGGGGCTGTAACTGTTCCCACAGGCTCACAGCCTAGCAGCCCCCACACCAGCATATGGATAGGAGGTGGTGGGGAGCACCTGGCCCTGCTGGCTAGAACCCCCTGAGTCCTTCCTGGTTTGTACTTGGGCTCCCATGGTTGTCCTAACCAGGGATACCCTGACACCCCCTCCTGAGCCGGGTCCCCTATCTTGGTAATGATCCATTTTCTGTCTATGAGTCCCTGGAGGGCAGACCCAAGCCTGAGTCATCTTTGTCCTGGTGCAACACAGGACCAGCCCTTCTTTTTCAGCTGAGGACGGCTTAACAGATAAGATTAGGCACCATTGGTCCCATGGACAGAGGGTGACCCTGTCTGGGGGTCAAAGAACAACACACGACAAAAGGTAGACAGAGTCTCTAGGATGATATCCAGAGTGGGGGAAAGGGCTGTGACAGTTACAGGCCAGAGGGGAAACTCAGCCCCTTTCTGTCTCCAGAAACTGGAGTTGGTAATCTCAGGAAATGCAGGTGGCTGGGGACAGAGCCTGGTCTCTGGAACCACAAAGATCTAGCTCCGTCACTAGCCAGCTGTCCAGTGTGTGACCTTGAGCAAGTCATTTCCTCTCTCTGGCATCGTCAGAAAGTAGAGGTGGTACTGATGTTCCAGGCTTGCAAGGATCAGAGATGGTGCCAGCCAGTACACAGCCACAAACAGAAGATCCTTAAAGAATGGTGGGTGACGAGGTCATGGCCACGGGCATTTGCAAAACACTGAAACATGTGCCCCAAGAGATTCCCAGCAGGCTGCCCTGCAGCTCAGATCAAGAAGTTGACTAAGTGGGTGGTCAAGCTGGGAACTCAGATGCAAGCGCACTGGTGCCCTTCATAATGACAAGCCCCTGCTCTAGGACAAAGATCAGAAGCTGGTGAGGGTCTGGGGGTATTAGTCCATTTTTACACTGCTATAAAGAACTACCTGAGACTCGGTAATTTATGAAGAAAAGAGGTTTAATTGACACACAGTTCTGCATGGGTGAGGAGGCCTCAGGAAAGTTACAATCATGGCGGAAGGTGAAGCGGAAGCAAGGCACGTCTTATATGGCGGCAGGAGAGAGAATGAGAGAAGAGGGAAGTGCCACATTTTTAAACCATCAGATCTCGTAAGAAGATTACCACTATTGGCCAGGCATGGTGGCTCACACCTGTAATCCCTGCACTTTGGGAGGCCGAGGCTGGCAGATCACTTGAGGTCAGGAGTTTGAGACCAGCCTGGCCAACATCATAAAACCCCATCTCTACTAAAGATACAAAAATTAGCCAGGTGTGGTGGTGCACCTGTAATCCCAGCGACTTGGGAGGCTGAGGGAGGAGAATCGCTTGAACCTTAGAGGCAGGGGTGCAGTGAGCAAGATTGCTCTTACTGCACTCCAGCCTGACTCGTTAAAAAAAAACAAATCCCTCACTGTCACAAGAATAGCATGGGGGAAACCACCCATGATACAATCACGTCCCACCACATCCCTCCCTTCATACGTGGGGATTACAATTTGAGATGAGATTTGGGTAGGAACACATGGCCAAACCATATCACCAGAGAAGGTAATATTTCTGGAAGAATGGATGGGGGCTGGTGTGGACACTGCTCCTAGCCACCAGCTTTCCCGTTGGTGGGTATTTATGCTGGGGCCTCACCTGTCAGTCCGTCCTCCCTCCCACATCACGGGGTGACACTCTTCCGCTTTAACCAGTGAGGTGACCGTCCCAAGGTCTCATAGCTGGTAAGTGCCAGGGCCAGGTCTTAAGCGAGGCACATCTAAACCCAAAAGCTAGCACTCCTAGCTATCAGGTCACACTGCCCACCACAAGGCAAAGGGCCTGAAGGAGGGTGCCCTGAGCAGGCAAGTGGGGATGGGGAGGTGGGTGAGGCCCTTGTCTGTTCCTGTTGGTTCCTCTTGGTAGAGGGAGTGACAGCATGTCTAGAGTCTGGGGTGGGGCCAGCCCTTACCTCAAGGCCATCCTGACGTCTCCATCTTCCTCAGCTGCCCACTCTGGGACCTGCCTTTCTCCCCACCCCACTCCCTGCAGCTTCCCTGGAGGACGGTGCTGACCCATTGCTCAGGTGCTGCCCCTCCCAGCTGGCCAGAGCCTGACTCAGAGGGCCAGCGGGCAGGCAGGCAGGCATGAAATTCTCCTGAGTCATAGGGAGGTGGGGGCCCCACCCAGCATGCGAAGGGAAGAGGATAGGGGTCCCCCAGACTGTGGCCCCACCAACTGGCCCTGAGCAGGCAGCCGAGGCCTAGCGACCCAAAAGCAGGCAGCCCAGCATGCCCCTTGAAGCAGAGGGCACAGGTTATGGCAGAGTTTTGCAAATGTCTTTACCTGTTGCACAGACCCATCTTGCAAAAGCTCCCTCTTCATTCCTGCATTTTCATCTATGTACAAAACCTGGCCTGTTGTCCATTCATCTCACCTTAATGGCAAGGCAGTCAGCTTAGGCTGGACAGGGCTGGAGTGAGGGGCCTCTGTCCTGAGTGACCTCCTCCCAAGCCCAGGCAGAACAAAGAAGAAAGCCCAAACGTGGGGCACTGGGCTGGGTGTGGTGGCTCACACCTGTAATCCTAGCACTTTGGGGGGCCAAGGCAGGTGGTTCTCACGAGTCCAGGAGTTTAAGACCAGTCTGGGCAACATGGCAAGATCCCATCTCTACAAAAAATTACTTTGGGAGGCCAAGGTGGGTGAATTGCTTGAGTTCAGGAGTTTGAGAGCAGCCTAGCAACATGGCAAAACTCTGTCTCTACAAAAAAAGAAAAAGATACGTAAAAAGAATTCGTATGAAAAAGAAAAAAGAGAAAAAAAGTAAAAACGAAAACAGGCTGGGCGTGGTGGCTCACGCCTGTAATCTCAGCACTTTGGGAGGCCAAATCCAGTGGATCACAAGATTAAGAGATCAAGACAATCCTGGTTAACATGGTGAAACCCTGTCTCTACTAAAAACACAAAAATTAGCTGGGCATGGTGGCACGCTCCTGTAGTCCAGCTACTCGGGAGGCTGAGGCCAGAGACTCGCTTGAACCCAGGAGGTGTAGGTTCCAGTGAGCCAAGATCACACCACTGCCCTCCAGCCTCAGCGACAGAGCAAGACCCCATCTAAAAAAAAGGTGAGGGCGTCTTGTTTGGATTGTGAGAGGTTGAGAGGCAAGGGAAGAACCCCAAAAAGCTGCGAGTTCCCCAGCGCAAGGATTGAGTCTTTCGCCTGCTTCCCAGTGTCTAGAACTGGGCCTAGAGAAGGTGCTAATGCTGCTGAACAAACAGATGAATGAACGAAACGAGGAATGAACAAACGTGGAGGTTAATGTTGTTCTACGAAGAGGGGACAACAGAAATGGGAGTCCCAACGATATGTGCCCGTGGTCCCAGCTCTTGGGAGGCAGAGGCAGGAGGATTATTTGGGGCTGCATTGAGCTATGATGGTGCCTTTGAATAGCTGCTGCACTCCAGCCTTGGAAACACGGGGAGACCCTTCTCTAAAAAAAAGGAAAAAACCCTGCCCTTATCCAGAGGGCAATGATAAAAATAACAGTAGCTGGCATGTAGATGTGCTTATTTCATGCCAGGCCCTGAGCTAAGTGCTCCGCATGGAACACCTCACTGAATCCTTATAGCAGGTGGCACTGTGGTAGGGACTTTTTTTTTTTTTGAGATGGAGTCTTGCTCTGTCACCCAGGCTGGAGTGCAATGGTTCGATCACGGTTCACTGCAACCTCCGCCTCCCAGGTTCGATTGATTCTCCTGCTTCAGCCTCCTGAGTAGCTGTGACTACAGGTGCATGCCACCATGCCTGGTTAACTTTTCCATTTTTAGTAGAGACAGGGTTTCACCATGTTGGCCAGGCTGGTCTCAAACTCCTGATCTCAGGTGATCTGCTCACCTCAGCCTCCCAAAGTGCTGAGATTACAGGTGTGAGCCGCAACGCCCAGCCTTTTTTTTTGTCACCTAGGACGGAGTGCAGTGGCACAATCTTGGCTCACTGCCACCTCCTGGTCCCAAGCGATTCTTGTGCCTCAGCCTCTTGAATAGCTGGAATTACAGACAGGCACCACCATGCCTAGCTAATTTTTGTATTTTCAGTAGAGATGGGGTTTCACCATGTTGGCCAGGCTGGTCTCGAACTCCTGGCCTCAAATGATCTGCCCACCTCGAAGGTGCTGGAATTACAGGGGTGAGCCACAGTGCCCGGCCAGTAGGGACTTTTAATATTCCCATTTCACAACTGAGAACAAAGCTGGGGAGGTTCAAGACCTTGCAAAAACAGACAGCCTCTAGGCCACCACCCAGGCAGGCCAAGGAAGAGCCTTCTCAGAAACAACTACACTGCACTGATCCATGGAGGGGGCGGCGCTGTGGACAGCCCAGGGTCCCGCGCCTCTCGGAAGTGTCCTCACAGCCTGCCCTGCCCTGCTTCTCCTCAGAGCTACACCCCCACGGTGTTTGAGCGGCACCTGATCAGCCTGCAAGTGAAAGGCAAGACCGTGCACCTCCACATCTGGGACACAGCAGGTGGGTGTGCAGGGGCGGTGGCGGGGCCCCAGATGGCCCCCAGATGCCTGGGACAGACTCTGCTCTGCCTTCTTCTGAACCAGGGAGGCCAGCCAGTCTCCAAGGGACAGGTGTGGGCCAGGAGTCGGCCCAGGAACCTGAGCTCTCCTTGCCTCTGCAGCCATGTCCACCTGTACCCCCAGCACCCCAGGGCTGCCCGCTACGTCTGGAGGCAAGCATGAACCCAGTGCTTTGCTTTTAGGACTGCTCTTGGCCTCTGAGCACTCCTCCCCGCTTTTAGCTTCTGTAAGATCTGCCTGTCCATGGCCTCTGCCCTCCAGCCTCCTGACCTTGCCTATTCAAGGGTGAACTCTAAGCTAAACTCAGGTCATCCCAGCAGCCCTCTTAGTTGGACAGGCTAAGATGTCTTTGCTAGGTTCCCACCTGCCCCTCATTTCTCACTCCTAAGCTCAGGGCAAAGCTGGCTTCTGAGCAGTTGGCCCCAGTTCCTCCAGGTGGCGCCAGGCCTGACCTCTGCCTTGCCCGGCATCCCTTCCAGACATTCCGCAGGCAGAGGTGAGCACTGCCCCAAGGGGGCACTCACATAGAGTAGCCACTTCAGAGCCAAATTTGTGCCAGACTCTGAGGCACAAAACTAGGCCCTGTCCCCAGAAGCTCCCCATCTGATGGGGTGACATCCTGACATTGGGGCGGTGCTGATAGGGGCCAGGAGCCCTGAAGGCAGTGACCACCCCCACTCTGCCCAGGGCAAGATGACTACGACCGCCTTCGGCCCCTGTTCTACCCTGACGCCAGCGTCCTGCTGCTCTGCTTCGATGTCACCAGCCCGAACAGCTTTGACAACGTCTCTGCCCGGGTAGGTACTGGGACGCAGGGAGGCATAGCCCCCATAGCCAGGCCACTCGGCTCTGCCGCCCACCTTTAACCCAGCTGACTGTCAGAGGTTGGCAGGCCCGAGATGACACTGAGTCCAGAGCCTCTGGCGTATAGATGGAGAAACTGAGGCCCAAAGTGGGGCAGTGGCTTGCCCAGGGTCCCTGGCACAGGGATTTGGTGGCAGCATCTGCCCTTCTAACTCCCAGTATAGTGCTCCTTGCCTACCCTAGGCTGCATGCTGTGGCTCTTCCCACTTTGAGTCTGCCTGAGGTTGCTGGTGACCCAGAGGCTCCTGCATCTCTACAGCCTGCGCCTGCCCGAGGCACGTGAACTGTCAAGTTAGAGTCCAGCAGCTCTTCGTGGCTGCTGGTTCTCAGAGGCTGCCCACAGGCATCAGGGATGTGGCCCCTTGAGTTCCTCTCTGCTCCAGCTGCCTTGCCATGGCACAGCCCCTCACCCACTGCTGCCAGGGCCTCCGAGGTTCTGCCAGGTACAACCTGTGATAGTATTTGCAACAACAACAACACCGATGGCGACAATTTTAAGGACTGATCACGTGCCAGGCACTGCTCTGGGTACCTGCATGTATTTACTCATTTACCCACCCCAGCAGACCTTATGGAGTATTATTATTCCTGGATTGAGTCACTCATCCAAAGATATACATCTATTAAAGTGGTAACACTGGATTTGAATCCAGGCAGCCTGCTCCACCCATTCATTCAGAATGAATGATGGAACACATTCATCTGCCAAGTGCTGTTCTGGGTACTGCGGACCAGGAGAGACGGTGGTGCCTGGGACCAGGATGCTAGCTGTGGGGGTGGCGAGGAGGGAGTTGATTCTGAATCAGTCTAGAAGGCGGTGTTTGCTGATGATCAGGGTTTGCTGATGGATTGGAGGTGGATGGGAGGGGGGAATTTTTACCAGAGCAGCTGGAAGGTGGAGTCGCCCTTGCCTAGAATGAGGAGCAAGCTGTGGATGGGGAGTGGGATAGAGAGAAGGCAGGTCTGCTGGACATCCTAGTGGAGGTGTCCGGCAGGCAGTGTGAGGCATGTGTCTGCAATTCATCTGAGTAGGCGGGCCTGTTGGGTTGCCTAAATGCAGCTGTACATTTAGAAGTTACAGGTGCAGTAAAGCCTGGGGGAGGCCGCCCGGGGAGGGAGAGCAGTTAGAGGAGAGGAGAGTCCACAGCCTGAGCCCCAGGGAGAGGAGGAGGAGGAGGACAAGGCCCCATTAGACCTAGGAGAACCAGGACAGTGGGGTCCTGGGGTGAAGTGCAGGCTTGGTCAGGTAGGAGGGAGTGATGCCCAGGGTCAAGGCTGTCGAGGGATCTGGTAGGAGCAGGGCTAGGATTCAGTGCTGGTGGCCAGGCACAGTGGCTCATGCCTTGTAATCCCAGCACATTGGGAGGCCGAGGTGGGTGGATCATTTGAAGTCAGGAGTTTCAGACCAGCCTGACCAACAGGGCAAAACCCCGTCACTACTAAAAATACAAAACTCAGCCAGGTGTGGTGGCAGGCACCTGTAGTCCCAGCTACTCAGGAGGCTGAGGCAGGAGAATCGCTTGAACCCGGGAGGTGGAGGTTGCAGTGAGCCAAGATCACACCACTGCACTCCAGCATGGATGACAGAGTGAGACTCCATCTCAAAAAAAAAAAAAAGAAGATTCACTGCTGGGTTAAGTGGGAGGCACCAAGGAAACCTTTTTCACTAACACTTTGGTGGATGGGTTGGGTGTGGGGAATCTGTCAGGGACCCCACAAAGGCCCCATTTGGTTCCAGGAATGAGGTAGTTTGACGCCTTGAGACGAAGTCTCACTGTCGCCCAGGCTGGAATGCAGTGGTGCAATCTCGGCTCCGCCTCCTGGGTTCAGGCTATTCTCCTGCCTCAGCCTGAGTAGCTGGGATTACAGACTCCTGCCACCACGCCTGGCTAATTTTTGTATTTTTAGTAGAGACAAGGTTTCAACATGTTGGCCAGGCTGGTCTCAAACTCCTGGCCCCAAGCATCTGCCCACCTCGGCATCCCAAAGGGCTGGGATTACAGGCTTGAGCCACCAAGCCCAGCCAATGCCAATTTTTATTGGGCAAGTTTGACACCTGAGCCGGCAGACTCGGTGCTCTTAGAGATAGAAAGCCCTCTCTCTGGATTCCTGTCCCCTCACCTGCAGTCCTGATGGCCTCGCATTTCGCAGAGCAGCCTTCCCTCCACCAGGCAAGCAGTTGAGGCAGACAGCTGCTGCAATCATTTTATGAGCAGATGTATTTATTTATTTATTTATTTTGAGACAGACTCTCTGTCACCCAGCCTGGAGTGCAGTGGCTCCATCTCAGCTCACAGCAACCTCTGCCTGCCAGGTTCAAGTAATTCTCCTTCCTCAGCCTCCCCAAGTAGCTGGGACTACAGGCGTGTGACACCACGCCTGTCTTTTTTTTTTTTTTTTTTGAGATGGAATCTCTCCCTATCGCCCAGGCTGGAGTGCAGTGGCATGATCTCAGCTCACAGCAACCTCCACCTTCTGGGTTCAAGCAATTCTCCTCCCTCAGCTTCCCAAGTAGCTGGGATTACAGGTGCATACCACCACACTCAGCTAACTTTTTGTATTTTTAGTAGAGATGAGGGTTTCACCATGTTGGCCAGGCTGGTCTCGAACTCGTGACCTCAGGTTATCCACCCGCCTCAGCCTCCCAAAATACTGGGATTGCAGGCATGAGTCACTACACCTGGCCGGATTTATTCTCAAAGGATCATTTATTTCCTTATATATTTTGTCCAGTTTAGGGGGTGGCCGTGAGGGCCCTTACCCTGCAGAGAGGCAGGATTCCAGAAGGGCAGGAGCCCTACCCCTAGGCTCAAATCCTGCCATTTCCAGTCAAGGCCGAGTTACATTGCCTCTCTGTGCCTGTTACCACATCTGTACAGTGGGATTGGTTATGAACTTGCTGCCAGGGACTTGGGGGATAAACGGGTCCATATGTGTAAATTCTTAAATGAGTGTCTGGTACTGAAGAGTTTCTCTCTAGATGCTGGCTGTGCAGATTACCAATATCAGAGTCCAGGCTGGGGAGCAGGAGAGTGGCCCACTGAGAGGGCCAGAACTCTTCAGGGCTCACACACACCCCCTCACCCCCCTGCAGTGGTACCCAGAAGTGAATCATTTCTGCAAGAACGTGCCCATCATCGTCGTGGGCTGCAAGACTGACCTGCGCAAGGACAAATCACTGGTGAACAAGCTCCGAAGAAATGGGCTGGAGCCTGTGACCTACCACAGGGTAGGAAATCCAGCCTGAGGTGGGAGTGAGTGACTGGGGGAGGGGACCTCTGGATGCCTCTCAGTGGCACCAGGCGTCCAGCACACTCAGGGTGTAGGTCAGAGCAGGGGTCGTCTTAGAGGCTGTCAGGTCAGGAACTTCTAGCCCTTGGAAATGGTCCCTAGAATACCCTGGGAGCCTCTGCCGGCAGAAGGGAGAACAAGAAAGTAGGCATATCAGAGTCAGTTCCACCACCAACCTGAGACCCAGAGAGGAGGCCCAGGCAGGCACCGACATGTGGGTCCCTCTCTGCTACACACTTGGGTCCATGGAATGTTCATTTCTTGGTGCCTTGAGAGGCAGAGGCCCAGCACAGAACAGAGGTAAGAAACACAATGAAGGCCAGGCACGATGGCTCATGCCTGTAACTTTGGGAGGCTAAGGCTGGAGAATTGTTTGAATCTAGGAGTTTGAGACCAGCCTGGGCAACATAGGGAGACCCCATCTCTACAAAAAAAGTAAAAAAAATAGTGGGGCATAGTGGCCACACCTCTGGTCCCAGCTACTGAGGATGCTGAGGCGGGAGGATCCCTTGAGTCCAGAAGTTCCAGGTTACAGTGAGCCAAGATTTGCACCACTGCATTCCCGCTTGGACAACTAGGCAACAGAACAAGACCCTGCCTCAAAAAAAAAAGAAAAAGAAAAGAAAAGGCCAGGCATGGTGGCTCACTCCTATAATCCTAGCACTTTGGGAGGTGGAGGTGGGTGGATCACAAGGTCAGGAGTTCAAGACCAGCCTGACCAACATAGTCTCTACTAAAAATACAAAAATTAGCCAGGCGTGGTGGCAGGCACCTGTAATCCCAGCTACTCAGGAGGCTGAGGCAGGAGAATCGCTTGAACCGGGGAGGTGGAGATTACAGTGAGCTGAGATCACACCATTGCACTCCAGCCTGGGCGACAGAGTGAGACTCCATCTCAAACTGCCTCAAAAAGAAAAAAAAAAAAAAAAAAAAAAAAAAAAAAAAAAGGCGAGGCACAGTGACTCACACCTGTAATCCCAGCACTTTGGGAGGCCAAGGCGGGAGGATAATTTGAGGTCAAGAGTTCCAGACCACCCTGGGTAAAATAATGAGACCCCATCTCTACCCAAAATACAAAAAATAAGCCAGGTGTGGTGGCAGGCACCTGTAGTCCCAGCTACTCTGGAGGCTGAGGCAGGAGAATCACTTGAACCAGGGAGGCAGATTTGCAGTGAGCTGAGATCCTGCCACTGCATTCCAGCCAGGATGACAAAGCAAGACTCCGTCTCAAAAAAAAAAAGAAAGAAACAGGATGAAGTACATGCGGGTGCTTGGGCAGCCAGGGTACAGGAGCTGTGGGTGCCCGGCAGACCCCACCTTCCACTCTTGTCCAGGTAAGGAAGCCAGGACCTGAGCACCACCCAGTGGCCCCCTCACGGCAGCCCTGTCCACCTCTCCCTCTAGGGCCAGGAGATGGCGAGGTCCGTGGGCGCGGTGGCCTACCTTGAGTGCTCAGCTCGGCTCCATGACAACGTCCACGCCGTCTTCCAGGAGGCGGCCAATGTGGCTCTCAGCAGCCGCAGTCGCAACTTCTGGCGGCAGATTACCCAGGGCTTTTGCGTGGTGACCTGAGCGGCGCCTGGCGTCCCAGCGGTGCGGGAAGGGGCTGGGCACTGACGTGCTGCTGAGCTGGCTGGGCTGGACCTGGTCCCCAGGCTGTGACCGCCGAACTGCACCGCAACAGACGAGTGCCATCAAGGCCAGGCCTTGGGAGTCCTGGCCTGAGAAAGGGCGTTCCTGGGCCCACCTGCCCTGTGGAGGGCTCGCCCTGTGGTGCCTGGGAATCACTCCCTGACCCGGGTACCAGCTCCCGATCAACATCCTGGAGCTGCCTGTGCAGGCTGATGCCCCCTCGTGGCTGCTCCCAGGGCTGCATCTGCCAGGACCTAGTGTTCTTAAGGATCCTCCTGCCAGAACCCACACCTGGCCCCTTCCCACCTGTCATGCTGGTAACTGTAACAACGAAATTGACATCACTTGTCATTTGTGTCATGCCTTTTATTTCAAAGCAGCTTTATACACACCTTCCAAGGTAGGTAAGAGCCCACCCTATCTAGGCACTGGGATGGGACTCCTTGGATCCAAACCAAACTTTATTGCTTCCGTGACCTTGGGCAAGTTCTTCTGGGCCTCAGCTTCCTCACCTGTGAAATGGATCACAGACTAAGCCATGGAGCTTTTGGATGAGTAAGAGGGTCATGAGGACCACACATGCAAAGAGATTAGTAGGTGCCTAGCACGTAGTGTTCACAGAAGTTTCAGTCAGGGCCAGATGTAGTGGCTCACCCCTGTAATCCCAGCACTTTGGGAGGACAATGTGGGTGGATCACGAGGTCAGGAGTTCGAGACCAGCTTGACCAACACAGTGAAACCCTGTCTCTACTAAAAACACAAAAATTAGCCAGGCGTGGTGGTGCGCGCCTGTAATCCCAGCTACTCAGGAGGTGGAGACAGAAGAATCGCTTGAACTCAGGAGGTGGAAGTTACAGTGAGCTGAGATTATGCCACTGCACTCCAGCTTGGGTGACATAGCAAGACTCCATCTCAAAAAAAAAAAGGTTCAGCCGGGTGTGGTGTCACACCTGTCCCAGCCACAATTGCACCAGTGCACTCCAACTTGGGCCACAAAGCAGGAAAAAAAAGTGGTCAGGCGTGGTGGCTCACGCCTGTAATTCCAACACTTTGGAAGGCCAAGGCGGACAAATCATCTGAGGTCAGGAGTTCGAGACCAGCCAGGCCAACATGGTGAAACCCGGTCTCTACTAAAAATACAAAAATTAGCCTGAGGCGGTGGCACTCCTGTAGACCCAGCTACTCGGGAGGCTGAAGCTGTAGACTTGCTTGAACCCAGGAGGCAGAGGTTGCATCAAGCTGAGACCGCGCCCCTGCACTCTAGCCTGGGGGAGAGAGCAAGACTCTGTCTCACGAAAAAAAAAGAATCCTGACTTCAGAGCAGTTGAGAATCATACAAGTAGATGGATCTGCAAGAAGTCTGTATAAAAAGAATAACAGCAAAAAACCCATCAAGGGCTCCAGATACATGCATTTTGGGAAATTACAGAGGAGAGCTGCCTGCCCTAGGTTAAGCTCACTGGGTTTGGGGAGAATGGGGAAGAATATCCTGGACGTAGGGTATGCTTAGGGGAAGAGCAATCAGGCTAGAAATGGAGGATGGCAAAAGTTGTTTCCCATCCCTGAGCAGGTTAAAAACTCAGTGGGGCCAGGCACGGTGTCTCACGCCTGTAATCCCAGCTCTTCGGGAGGCTGAGGAGGGTGGATCACCTGAGGTCAGGAGTTCGAGGCCAGCCTGGGCAACATGCTGAAACCCCATCTCTTTTTTTTTTTTTTTTTTTTTTTT